CAACATGGAATCTATATACTTTTTTCCGAGTGGTTCCAGAGAGAGTAAAATTGAGAATAGTAAATTGTCAATACACAAATCCCTTGGATTTGTTGTACTAGAATAAATCAAGTAACTAGTTTCACAATCGGTGCACTTCGAAGTGGCCGATTTTACTACAGATTCGTTTTGACCAGAAATAAGCCTTGAATGGTTTCTTTCCACAGGGTATTGTAGAGAATAATGCTCTAGATTTTTCCAGAAAATATTGTATTACAAATTTTGCACTTTGCAAAAAAATATATCCGAAGTGTAAGTACAGGGCGTCTCAAAAGTAACTATACGATAAAAAAATTGAATATCTCCGTCGCACTTTCATTCATAAACGAAAAGTTTACAAGTATTGCTCAAAACTGTCACCATTGACTTATATATAGAAATGTAGCCCTTTTCTGATTTCCGAAAAAAGTTTATGCAATGTTTCTGCTGCAATCGATCGGACCCCTCGGATCATTCTGGACATAATATCATCCATATCTTTCACTCGTGTTTTATTAACATTAAGTTTTGACATGTTTTCACAAAAATGAATTCAGTGACGTCAAATCTGGTGACCGTGGAGTCCATGAAACCAGCTCACCTCTTCCAATTCATGGATCATCAAAATTGCATATGTATTGTTTAACCAGACGCGAACTTCTTTTGCGAAACATGGTGGCGCTCTATCTTGTTGAAAAGTCATCTTATTAGCCACTCGTTTGCTCTTCATTATCGAACAAAAATAATTTTGGAAGCATATCAAGATAATTGTGTTGATTAAGCGTTTCTTCATTAAAGCAAGTAAGAATCACTTATCTGTTTGATTGACATCGCACACCATACTGTAATTTTTGGCGAATTTATTGTAACATGGATACTAACAAATAGATTGGTTTGCGCTCAAATATGACAATTACGCTTGCCAACAATGCCGGAAAGGTGAAAAGTTGCTTCGTCTGAAAACAATTAGACAACTGTTATCTTTATCTTCGAAAATGGGTAATAAATATTTTACCATTTCGACACGTAAATCTTTGTCTTAATCATATAATTGTTGTTATATCAAATGCAACTTGTGTGGCTCCTACCTCAATACTTCACACATTGTACGATGAACCACCGATTTTTACAATTTATCTTCCGTGGCAATATTTCGAACACTGGTGGTCGACACACTTTGCAGAACTTCAGCAATTTCATCTATCACGCAGTCTTTCACCAAGCCAGTTTCCATAAATTTATCATAAATAGCTTGAACAGTCAACACGGTGGGAATGTCGGACACATTTTCCCGTTGAAAATGTCTTCGGATTATAGTTGGAAACTCTAATTTAGCCATAATGAGTACTATTTTGATTCTGAGCTCTTAACTGTAAGGCATTTTCTTTTATCTATAACAAGCAAAACTTGCAACTGTCATCTACTACCAAAAACGGTAGCCCATTTGATGAAAGCGCAGCGGAGATATTCACATTTCTTTTTCATATGCAGCGTTTACCATTAATATCTATACAATAAAAACTTCAATATCTTCCCATCGCTTCAACCAATCGGATTGTTTTCTCCTTTGATTATAGAGAAGACTTCAGATTTTTTTCGATACGAAACCATCAATAAATACTGCTTTTGAGTATCTTTTCCGAGAAAAACAAAAGAGTGGATCCATTGATTTCGATCGAAGCTCCATCTACTCAATTGGGAGTTATGTATTTGGTTGAGTTTAGGATACAATATACAAACAACTGTTATATCCATTTTGGCGGAAATCGTTTGAAAAAATATTGAACCGTTGGTTTTTAATAATTTCTGTAGCAAAAACTTCTAAAAACGCAGGTCTCGTGGAATGAGAATTTTGTAGACTCAATATCTTTAGAACATATTGACCTGTTATGCTGAAATTATTTTGGCTTACTCGTACTAGTTAGCGATGTGTACAGTAAAACATTGAGCATGAACGGACCAGTCGTTCTCATCTTGTGAAAAAAGCAAAAACTGCGATTTTTTCGCATATTCGGTATTTTGTAGCTCATCACCAGAAATAGATAGAGAGCTGACATTTTCACCACACATAGAAGTAACAGAAATATGTGTTCGTGTAACTTTTCAGCTCTGTAGATATTCGTATTTGCCCAGAAGAGCCCACCGAAAATTACCTTTTTTCCTAAAATGGGAATTTTCGACCAACCTTATCTTCAAGAATACGGAGATAGCTTTCAAGACAATAGTGCAACATAAAAGTACGTTCTGTACTCCGTTTTTTGGCAAGGCAGGCTATTTAGTAACTTTGAAGACTATGCAGAAAAACGATCACGCTTATTCGGCGCTTTGTAAACAAAATCGATGTTAGGGATTATGTCCTTTGAAGTCCAATATGTGAAACAGTTTTCATTTTCATGAATATCTCGAGCTGCCTTTTGATGTAGAAAACGTGAAAGATAGATTTTATGCCATTCGTGAGCAAAAATTGTATCGCAGCACAATATTCTCCCACAATTGCTCAGAGCAAACCCTTTGGAAGGTTTTTTAGCTTCATGATTCCAAACTACGAAGCAAAATATGACCTAAAAAACTATAGATCTAGTGATGATCTACTCCAAAAAGTACTTTCTCAGAAATTAGAAACGGCGGTATTTTTTCATTGACGTGAATAGTGGTACTTTAAACTACTGTCTGCGCACGAGTTTCCTATGAGAAAACTTCGAAGTCTATTCTATTGCTGAGAAAAAGTACGCTTAAGTGATTCAAGCAGAGTGAAGATCTTCAATTTTTCTTCTTTAAAACCACTTATGGGTCACCTTGTATGGCTGAATACACTAGGATGGGTAAAGAAAGAACAAAATAGAAAAAAAAACAGCATGATTCCAGATATAATGAGATGATTTTCAATTCAAAATTTCGTGTCTTAATTAGACTTGTAGCTCAAAAATCGTACTTTTCATGCCTTCGCATGGAGTAAACGAAATCGTTACCAAACGATTTCAATAAAAATGAAAGATGGTTGCGGTCATACTTCTTTCAGTTTTAGATAGAGAAAAAAGTTTTGCATATAGTGAAACTAGTTATTTCAGCCTATTGCAAACGAACTACAGATCGAATTTAGAGGTAAAAATCCTTGAATGACCTGCACTAGGTGAAAAACAATAATGTCGTCTATATTTCTCGAAATTTGGTTTGAAGCTCAATTTCAAGTAGTCAGCGATGATCAGCCACCCTCACTCTCTATGGAAATACACAATTTTTATTAATATTCGGAACCCGTTCTCAGTCTGTTCACTCCTTGAAGAGATCCAACCATGTCGAATAAAGCAATTTTGCTGATTTCCATTGAAACGGTTCGGTTTTTATAGAGCGAAGGTCGCTGATCATCACTGACTACTTGAAATTGCGGACTAAGCCAAATTTCGAGATATATAGACCACATTATTGTTTTTCACCTAGTGCAGGTTATCCAAGGATGTATGTCTCTAAATTCTATCTGTAGTCCGTTTTCAATAGACTGAAATAACTTGACTATATGCAAAACTTTGTTCTGTATTTAAGAAGCTTGTCAGCGCAGCCGCATACCAGGCTAAAATGTGGAACTCACATTCAATGAACTAACAGATTAGAGAAGATTTTAAGGATGAAAACATCTCTTTAGAAAACAAGAGAAGACCAAAACGAGCACGTTCCAATCTAGCTATAGATTTCAGACATGTCATGCATTCTTCAATTGTCTAGGCACTCTTATTTCGCCTTCTATCGTTGTATTCCGCTGTCAGTCACTTTTGTTGCTCAATTTCTGTTCGTTAGTCATCTTTTGGTTTCTTTTGATTTATCGTTCGCACGCATGCCGATACCAGTGAGAGTCGAGGCACGTGACCATCCATTCGAACGACTTCATGAGTCGAAAGAGCAATTCGTGTTGTTTCGCGTAAGAACACGATCTTCTTCTCTAAGCAGAAGTCTCTCTCAGTATTTCTTTCGCACTTCCACAGGCATATTCAAATATGTGAATGGAGTGTCTGTAAACGGGGAGGCGGGTCTCTACAGGGAGTTAAGCAGGAAAAGTTTGGATACAAACTTACACTCATTATTTTCATAGCGAGTTCCACAAAATGAAAGAAGTATGGCCACGACTATCTTTCATTTTTCAAATCGTTTGAATACGGTCTCGTTTACTCCATGTGGATGTATGAAAAGTACGGTTTTCCAGCTAAAAGTCTAATTAAGATACGAACTTTTGAATTAAAAATTGCCTCGTGAGAAGGAGCATGTCACGTTATGTATCCAAGATAAAAATCTCATTGAGACAAAACTCATAAAAATACTTCATAGGACTAGTAAAAGTTGTTCAAAAATCTGACCACTAAAGTTGGGTGGCATTCAGCGATTATCGATCGTATGAAACAAAGGTTTTAAATGGTTCATATGAATTTGCGTAGAGAAACAAATTTCTGAGTCGAATGGAGTTTTTTTTTCAACAGACTATAGTTTATTTTGTACGAACTGCGAGGAAAAAGTGACTTTTTTGACCTCCTGGAAAATGGCTTTTATTTTATTACCGTGCATAAAATTTCTAGAACGAGCATGGCACTGTTGATCAGCACAGTTCGTTCTATCTAGTGTAATGTGTTTTAAACAAAGGAGACGAAACTTTTTCTATGATTGTTGATGGACCCAGGCACGAAAAAGTAACCTAGCGTGAAGAACAAATTAAACCTGTTTCGACCACTAAGGATTAAGTGCTGAGTCTTTGACGGGCTGTTTCAGAATCGAACTGCGCGGTTGTCAGAAATACGAAACTGTCACATTTCCTTTACATCTGCGTTTGAATTATCGCATATTGTGACTTTTACAATGAATTTTTAACTGATTGCTTAACAATTACAAGATATCCATTTCGTCTTCGTATTGCATACAGGATATTGAGTCCGTCACCCTTTCCGCGAATCAGATTGGCGATCAAGGAGTGCAATATATCGCTGAAGCTTTGAAAAATAATGAGGTAATACTTCTTCCTAACATCTTTGTCACATCGATTGTCTTTGCTGACTGAAGAAAGTAGTTCGTTTAACCCTTGACTGGAATAAAATCAGTGGACAAGGAGCACGATATCTTGGTGAACTTTTGGAAACAAATACGGTAAGCGCAACATATTATTTCAATTTATCATCCACTTTATTTCTTTACTTCATCTAAAGACACTCGAAACACTGAGTCTCAACGTAAACGAAATCGGCGAGGAAGGAGGACAATATCTCGCTCAGGCATTGGAACATAATAATGTAGCATTCGTCTTCTTTTTATCTTCTTCGTCTAACACTTACTTACGTTTCATAGACACTTACTACGTTGCGTCTCGATTCGGGTAGAATCGGAGATCAAGGAGCAAAATATTTCGCAGAAGCTTTGAAAAAGAACCAGGTATGGCATTCATCCACTCTCAATTTCAATAATATACGTCTTCATTTCACACATAGAAACTCGAATTACTGAATCTTCAAGCCAACATGATCAATGATCAAGGAGTACAATATCTCACTGATGCTTTGAAAAATAACAGCGTAATATTGATTGTCTCACTTAAAATTGATAATTTGCTTCTTTTAAATCTCTCACAGACCCTAACGTCTCTGTATCTACATTTCAATGAGATCAGTGAAGAAGGCGCAAAATATCTCTCTCAACTTTTGGAAAAAAATGCAGTAATACTTTCACCTTTCATGTTTATCGCGTAGCTGTTGACTTCACAAATAGACACTCGTCGAACTAAATCTGTGTGGAAATAGCATTGGAGATCAGGGAGCACAGTATCTCGGTCAGGGGTTGGCAAAAAATGAGGTGAAGTTCAATCTTTATAAATCGCGATAAGACAAGTCGATTTGTTATTCTATATGTAGACCCTTACCACAATAGATCTTGGCTCCAATGGAATTGGTGATGAAGGAGCAAAACATATAGCTAAAGGTTTGCAAAACAACAAGGTAATACATTCCTCTTCTCATCAGCTCTACAATGAATCTCTTCGACATCTCATATAGACACTCGTGACTATGAAACTGTATAGCAATGCAATCAGTGCACAAGCAATTGAAGAAACGAAGAAAATCCTGAAGACTAATGAAAACCTAACCGTGGATTGGTGATCCTTACAAATACACAAAAAGACGTCGAACAATAAACTCCGCATATCTCGTTCATAATAGATTTGATCCTTAGCACATACAAGAAAAAAATTCCTTTCCGCTACTTTTCACCATCCCTGTCACCATGGCTTCATTTCTCAATAAAGATTGGAAATAAATTACTCAATATTTCAATAATAAATCGAAGTTGTAATTGCAAGACAAACGAGTTCATCAATCATGTTTTCTTCCATACGAATACGAAATACAGTGAAGGTTTTGGTGTGAGTGTCACACTGTAACCACTCATACCTACACACACCAACACCTCACACTCACACCCTATATGAATGTGTTTCTTCTTTATTTTTTTTTCAACAGTAACAACAATGCCATGACAATATCAAAATAAAGATTAGTCATTTGTTGAATTTTAGGATGTGTGGGTGTCTCTGTGTGCATTGGAAGAAGAGCACATCCATACCCATCATATGGTATGAGATCTGTTCCTAACGGAATACACTTGTTCGCAATATGTTGAAAGAGGACACTTCCATGATAATGAAAATGAGTGTGAGAGTATTCTTCTTGTGATACAATTACTTATTTGAAGGTTGACTGGAGATAAAAGCTCAAAGTTTCAAAAATATTGAGGAATTTTACTCTATAATAAGAAAAGCATTCATGAAAATGTATTCACATCATTGTGTTTTTATCTAATTTTATGACTGAAAAAAAGTATAAAATGAAAGAAAACTGTCAACGTGCACTCTTTTAAGTATTTATTCTAGAAGCCATTGTAACTCGCATCACTCGTTTATCGTTATGGATCTAATTCAAGAATCAAGGGCAAACATATGATTCATCAGAATGATAAGGAATACCATGAGTCAGGCGTACACAATATATTCATCACAGCGTTTAATACAAGAAAATTATATTTCTTTGCATCAGCATTTGTGGCGATGCAGATTAAAATACCACCTGTTTGAAAAAAATTAAAAAGACACATACGATACTGCTTCATTCCAACACAAACTATGGTTAGAAGTATAATTCGTTATTTTGGCTTTTGTTCTTCTTCAGTAAATGGCATCAATTTTTACTTTTCATCATTTTAACATGTAGTGATCTTCCATTTTAGTGTCACAGGTTTGGCTCAGTATAATATGAAGAATTCGTGAATAATTCGATTCGAGACTTCAACTTTTCTCTATTTACCCTCTCGTCATCCGCGTAGATGAGAAGTCCGTTGAAATGTGAAAGGTTGAATACTGGAATTGAATATTTATAACGACTTTCAAGTTTGGCCAGTATGTTTTGTTTACGTAAATGTTTTCTTTTAATGAATACCGACGATCACTGCAACTACCACCACAACGCAGCAGTCACGTATGCTTCGGATTAACTATTTTGACTCTTGATAAGTGTTACTTTCGAATCAAATATATTCATCTACCTAGGATAGGCAACTACCAGCGAGATGTATTATACGCGGAATCTGCATACCTTAACCGTATTAACAAATGGGGAAGTCCTAGTTACTGGTGGGCTCAGTAAGAGTGGCCGTCTTAATAGCATTGAGTTGTATGATCCATCAACTGGAACTTAAACAATTACTGGTAACATGAATGCTTCGCGAGACTTCCGTGCAGTATCCATATTAGCAAATGGAAAAGTGTTAGTTTCTGGTGGATATAATTATGAGGTCGTGGGCAGTGTAGAACTATATTAATTATTTGAAATATATAAAGGGATAAACAATTTTTGAAGTTTGGCACTATTTTTCTAATTTTCAAATATTATCCTTCATCACAGCCGTCGTCTTATTAAAAGGATGAAGCGTATCAATAGAAAAGATCATTTAGTTGGTGTATCTCAAAAAAATGTATGTTATGTCAACAAACGATTTATTTCTCTCTATTTTGATAATGAATATAATTGTGATGGAAAATATAAGTGACTCTGAACAGTTGGACATTTATGAACGCTTTTATTAAGTGTTTAGAAGAGCGTGAATCCAATTTTTAATTTGACACATAAATGGATGTACTTATTTATCTTTGAAAATGAATTCTTAATTTACAGTTAACGTCACATTGTACCGTGAGAATATCAAAATTCTAGTATTACAGAAGATCTCAAGTGAAGTAAATGCCATAAAGTTTAGTGAATAAGTTTAGGAAGTATTATTTTATATCTTTTTATCACCTTCTTCTCCGATTTAGAGGAGTTTGCTCATATATTGCCATGATTAATTTTGCCTTTGATTAATTTCAATCCATAGTGTTCGTTAAAAAGTTGCATTATGATATTTTTCTTTGTCTTCTTTTCTTTAATCAATAATAGTGTTCTTCCACAAATACAATAATCTCTCGACAATAGCTGTTTCTATGATACAAGCTCATACCAAAATGCACTATTGTTGTTTGTAGTATATCTCAGGTTTCAAACGGACTATCCAGATTGACCCACAACGATTTTCTTCATAAGCCGAATTCAACTTGTCGAAGATTCACATCCAACTCGAGTTGCTTGACCCAAACTTTGTATGTTTCTTGTTCAATAAAATATATATGTGAGAGTATGATTGAAATAGAGCTATGTCGAAAATCGTTCATCATCAATAGTACTTGCTACAAATAATATTCAAATAATTGACTTAACGTTTGCAAACGAATCGATGAAACATTCACTACTACAAAGCTGCTTACTCAAGAATAGTGAGCATCCGTAACTCGAACTACAATAAATAATGTCTTGTTTGGTCGATTCACATATTCTCATCTTGACCCTCAAATTCTGGCTATTTGATGAATGACACAATCAACTTCGATACAATGCGTTTTCAAACACGAAAACCTTTTCATAAAAATTGACCGATAGTAATGCAAATTCTATATATATGGGTGTGGGTGTCGAGTATGCATGTAAACGCTCTGTTCTGATCAGCCCACACCCATACCCTTAGGAGTAGAGCGTGTACAGTTAGTAATAACTGCCACAAAGATTTGGTTGGATTTGAAATGTTTTTATTCAGAAAATCTCCAATATCTATGCAGATAAACGAATTTGATACAAGGCGTATCTTTGCAGTTTTAATGAAGAAACATTTCGATGCAATCCCTGTAGGCTTAAAATATGTAACGCATTGGATTGGCTAAAATCAACAGTCTTGGAGAAATATATCACGGACTAGAGGGCAGTTCAGAGATGTATTCTTTTTCTCTCGGTTTACTTTGTAATTGTCTTGGTTCAAAAATAAAAGCAAGAATATACGATGAAAACTAATTAATCAAAACCTTTCACAAGTACTTCAGAGTTTAAGCAAAACAAAATCGAATCAATCTATCGCCAGTGATGAGAAGATAATGGTTCACGAATATGTGAAAGGGCTTTTTTGCGTTCCTGCTTATAGATTTTTGATGGTAAGATAAATGTGACAAAGTTCAAAATTGATGCCATGAACGAAATAATATATGTAGCAAAGAAAAACGATGGCTCACGAGGTGAATCCTTGCAACCCGATAAAAATGATAAAAACAAAGAGATATAGCGCGCATAACAGGAATACCAGGAAAAATAATGTATGTTGATATCGACGAAGTCGTTCAAAAATATGTTGCTTGTATCATTTGTCTCTATGAACAGTTTCTTTTTGTCGAGTAACAATCATAATAATGATCAGAGCCGATATCAAATTAATAGTAAATGGCACAATAAAATGAAACATAAGTACGATCGAATTCAAAATTTGATAGAAATTATCATATCTAATCATACACCATATTCGTTGTTCTTCGGTATCATCCAATAGATGATGATGAATCGGATCACGTATATGTATCAATAGTGTAACAGAACAAACAACAAGAATCACCCATTTGGCTATTTGGCTACTTTTTCTCGCATTAAATGAAATTCCTTTGAATGACACAATAGTTCGTTCGATTGCTATATTGGGTGTGAGATGTGTTTATAAGAATATTCTAAGCTGCTTACGATGATCATTTTGTCCTTGCTATAGGGACTCATCAAATCGAAACAGACCGACCTATATCATAACGAAAAGACAAGTTCAATCTGCTAATCTCAACTCTTGCTTCTCAGCAATCGACTAAGTCGAAAATAAAAGAATAATTATTTTGATATGCAGAGTTTAATTTTGCCGACGCGTTTCATGTTTATTTATTTAATTTGTTTTTTTAGTCGAGTTTGATTTTCTTCATCGTTTATTATATTGTTATACATAGTAAGTGTTTTTTTTTGGGTGTAGGCGTGGGCGTTAGTATTTTATTAATATACACTTACACCCCACATCCACATCAAAATTTCAATTAACCTGGAAAAATAATCGTTTTCACGTCGATTGATGTTGCCCGTTACTGACTGACAATCGGGAATCACGATCACCAGCTAGACACAGTTCAAATGTTATGTTTATACAAACAAGTTTCTTTATTTTTTTGTCTACTTGGGTTTATTTTGAAGATATCGAACATCGCATATTTTTAATCGACTTTTCTTTCTTCCAAAATCACTTGTTTAATCATACTCACGACTTCATCTAATGTTATAGATGGAGAAATCAAAGAACTGTTTAGTGAAATATTGTATGTTTCGTGGATGACATTGAGCGATACAAAAGAATTTCTTTCTATCGATTTATTTTATTAGACGCTACATAGAAACAAAAATGAGAAAAGTTTTCAATTCAACAAAAGAGCAATGAACATAAAATCTGAATGACACTTTTTTATCATTTTATGTATTCCCATGAGATTTTTTCGAATTAGCTTCATTTTAATCTGTCTGAGAGAAATAAAATTTCCTTATCTCAGGAAGTCAAAAGAGCAGAGAGGTCGTCGAAAATATCTGAAAAACTATATAGTTGCTACCTTTTAGGATTCTTAATAGTTTTATGGTATAGATGAAGATCATTCTTGGATTCACACGTATCTATTGTGCCTTTTCTACGCTTTATTTTCTTCTCATATTAGCATCAGTATTGTTGTTATCAA